AGGCTGGTGCTTAGGCGGTCGCATCATCAAGTATAGACGTCATTCCTAATTTTCGAACGCTTAGGAATTAATCAGAACGGTAACCAACCGTCTAGCTCTTAATTCTATACGAGAATTTTTTTAGAACAATGACATTAATAGACCAAAACAATTCGGTAATAATGAACTTATTCCGGGTAATTGCTCTCATTATTATGGGGCAAAAACTTTTATTGGTTTAGTTTAATTTGTAAAGTGACCCAATATTGTATTCAAGGTGAAGTCTTGTCAATGTACGGAATGTCCCTACTTTGAATATGTTATTTTAATATTCTTCTTCGAAATTGACACTTGAGGAAGTTATTCAGCACTTTTTTTTTTTTTTGTGTGCTATTCACACACCATTTTTTACTTTTTACATATTTTTATTAATTTCTATCCATTCATCTTCTTTAATTCATCTGATCCGACGGCCGAAAACCAAAAAAATGTGGAAGAAGTAAAAAGAGGTGTATGGATATTACATCCTCTTAGCAATTTTTGAAATTTTATATTGTGTTATTCTTTTTCTATACGGTCGTTTAAAGTGGTAGAATTAAATTTAGTACTTTGAGTGTAGAGGTAAATGTTATTAATCATTTTAGACAGAAGTGCAGAGTACCTATTTCTTTTACCTATTTTAAAGTGCAGTGCTATTACCAGCTCTTTTTTGGTTTTTATACAAAGAGTAATGCTAAGAAGATTAAATTGTTAAACCAAAATTTCAAATTAAATAATGTGTCACCAATAAGAGATAATATACGTTAATTAACATTAAGTAATAATCTAATAATCAATATCCACATCATTTGGTTTACAAAATTTGATTTACAATTTTGATCTTTCTAGCATTACTCTTTAAATATGAGTATGTAAATAGAGTAGTGCTATTTACACATCATTTTTTTGGCTCACACACACCATTGCTAAATTTTGTCAATTGATATTCTTCAATTCATTAAATGTAACAATTGAAAATTAAAAAAGTGAATGTGAAAAGTAAAAATAAGTGGTTGGATAACACGAGTGAGGATCCTCGCCATATCCTCTTTGTGAGGATTCCAGGGATTCTCAAATTACATCCGTTCATTGTACATCGTACGGTTAGAAATCATTGTAATTTTTTTATTTAAAATTGAATATAAACAGTACCTGAAGAAAACTGACTACACGATGTACAATGAACGGATGTGATTTGAGGATCTCCGAAATCTTCACAAAGAGGATACGGTGAGAATCCTCTCTCGGATAACACCACCCTATAAATAACCAAAACAATGCACCATGTCAAGATGTTGGCCCTAAAAAGGAAAACCCCCGAAAGGAAAAACTGAAATAAGCAAACAAGCCCCGCTTTGTTTAAGCCATTTCCTTTGCTTGATGTATAATTTGTACCATAAACTAACATTGATAATGGGAAAACTAATCATTGGTGGTACTATAAACCAAAATGAAAATCTTTGTTTTTTATTTTTTATTTTTGCAATTTTAAACTTTTTTAAACTCTCATTTGTTCTTATCGATGACAAAGTTTAATAGTCGGTACAACAGTTCATTACTAGTTAACATTATTATGTCTTCAACTTAATTGTATATACAATCTAGTAGGTGTGCGGTTTTACATAAAAAAATATTAGTGCAATTAATGATGAAATCATCGATCTTTAATTGGGTTAGCTTTCCGCGTAAACATTCTTCTATTAGTCCTTGAAATTATTGATGTCTATCAATCATCTAACAATCAAAGTTATGCATAATTTACCATTCAGTACTACAGTTTGGTAAATTCCTTTTCACTTGAAAATGAGAGGTCTTTAGTTCAAATCTCGTAGATGGCGAATTCGATATCAAATTAGGTTACCCATCGTGTGGTTTAGTCGAATTCTCATTCCTTCTAGTGTAAAAATATCGATATACTAAAAAAAAAAAAAGTTATGCATGATTTGTTAATGGTTGTATGTATTTAAAGTTTGCTTTTAAATTTTATGTTGATGATAACGAGGGACTTAGATTAAGATAATTAGTTTTCATTTTACTTATTTTTGTTTTTATTTATTTATTTGTTTATTTATCATGCATGCATGCATGGTAGATTAGTGGGACGCGCTTTTGCTTGCCCTACAAATTGACACAATTTTACATCATCACACAATTTCTTGTGCCAAACTCTTTGAAATCGAATATTTTGCAACATCTCACTTTCCTAAAAGTCACCGTAAGTTTGCTACCCCTCAAATGTTAGTCCTAATGCTGTCAATTAAACTTCATTTCATACTCATGAATTCCACAATCAAAACCCATCAAATTCTTAATGTCCTAAAAACAACATCGTTTTACGAAAATCAGTTCGTTGAGCACCATTCAAATGGGTTTCGTACTCCATCTTCAAATTCACTGTTTCAGAAAAATTGGGAAGAAAACGAAAACTAAAAAGTAGTTTTCGGCGGATCATACGATGCAAGAACTTTAAACTGCTAGCCTTTTCCTCTCAAAAAATTTACAGAATTTAAACAATTTGTATTCAATCGGCGGTGGGGAAGATAATGGTACCTGGGGTTGTTCAAGGGGCCAACTTTGTTGACGAACAAGGGGACATGATCTCCTACATTGTAGCTGTGATCGCTTGCTGAGGCTGTGGCAGAAGGAACTGAGAATGTAAGGATCGTGAGGAGGACCACCAGGAGACTCATTTGCAACGAAGAACTGCAAGCAGCAGCAGCAGCAGCTCTGGATTCAGAAAGAGTGCAGACTGTGGACGGATGGGTTTGGTCAAACCGATGCCATATTGCTAAACAAATTGAATAAAGAGACAACATCTATCTAACTACAAGGTCAATTGCTACTTAACACTCAGATTTAGTAGCAGAGATCTTAAGTTCGATTCTTACTAAATGTAAATTTGAATCACATTGTGAATATTTCCTTAACTTTAATTTAATTGGAACCACTACTTTCGAGTAAATTGTAGCAATATTCTCTTAATTTTAATTTAATTAGAGCAATGATCCTTCAATTAAAAATCTATTACCATTCCCCAACTCATCAAAACATGCAGCTATGATCCCTCAATTAAAAATTTATTACCATTAGTCCATCAACTTTAATCCAACTAGAGAAATGGTCCCTCAACTTTAATCCAATTGTAGCAATGGTTCTTCCAACATAACTCATTTTGACATTCTGATGAAAATAACCATAGTTACACGTTTTGATGAGCTGAGGAACCTCAATTGTAGCAATGGTTATTCCAACATAACTTATTTTGACAAAATTTTAACGAAGTTAATGAAAAAGGTCATAGCTACACAGTTTGATGAGTTTAGGGACTAATGGTAATGGATTTTTAGTTGATGGACCATTGCTACAGTTTATTTTTAATGTAGATCATATTGTTTGTTCAAAATAAAAATAAATAAAAAATACCGAGCCCAATTTAATTTCAATGATGAAATATTTGGGAAAATTGCACAAATACCATATGAAGGATTTGGATCCTATCCGGATCCAAGTTGTGGGAATCCTAGGGATTCTTACATTTTATCTGTTTATCGTATATTGTATGGTCAGAAATAAATTTGAATTTATTTATTTAAAATTAAACACAAATAGTTCCTAACAAAAATTGACCGCATAATATACGATAAACGATTCTGATGTGAAGATCCCACAAACAAGATATGAAGTGGATTCTCATCCCCCATGGACTACTAGTATGCACAAATACTAACTGAAAAATCTTGTCAATTTGCCACGTAAACTCATGTCTTATAGGGCATGTACTAAGTTTGTAAGAGCACCTATAATGGGAATTTTTGGCCTAGTTAAATTTGCTTAGTTAAATTAAAATTCAAGTATTTTGAGCGGTCAAATTAACCTAAGTCTAAATTTTAGATAGCGTGAGACTTACTTAAATTTTAGAATCCTAACCTTAAACTTTTAAACCAAAAAAAAGTGGTGTGATCCACACATCACTTTTTACATCCTGACATCCCCTGTTACTTTCTGTCATTTAATCATCTTCAAATCACTCGATCTAAAATCGAAAGGTATGTGAAATGTGAAAAGTGTGGTATTGCCTATCAATATTTTGAGCGGCTAGATTTTGCCAAGGTCTTATGGATCGGGCCGAGTTTGAACATTTTTTTAAAGTACAAGGTTGGCCCATCCTGATCGTAGGGTCAGACTTTATTAGGTATAAGGGCAGGCCGAAAGGATATTTATACGTATTTGACAGAGAGGAGAGTTATTGGCCCTTGAGCTGGGCTGGGCCATAAATATCTCAAATTTGGTCAATTCGTTTAACTCCTCAAGCCGAACATTAAAGGGCTGGGTAGGGCCATGACCAACCGATCTCAATTTACAAGTCTAATATGTACCACCTTCATTATGTTCGTTAACACTTTAGTCGAAACTTTATCATTCATTTGAACCCTTTTTGTCTCGGTGAAACCTAGTACGAGGAAAATATTTTATTATTTAAAAAAAAAACTACACCTAAGAATACATAAATAAAAGTCACACATCCAGGACCAGGACCTCAATGTCGCAAATATGTCAAGATTAGAAGAAGATGGTTATATTGTGACAGGATGGTTGGGCTTTAGGTAGTTTAGTGATGGTAGTGGTGGCCATTTTGGTGATTAATAATTTTCTTCCGACCCTCAGCCCAATCATGGATAATGATACCTATTATTCCATGTGTGAAATCAAGCAGCTAAACATGCTTCATTTCACTTCACTTGATTTGTTTTATCCATATGTTAGGCTCAATTTTAAAGATGATCGTCATGAGGTATTAGTCATAGTTATGGGATGGTTGCGCTTTACGTAGTTGAGTTGTGGTAGTTTGTCACACTCCAATCCAAGATTAAGTCTAAACCTTTGAATAGGACATTATCACACTTTAACTAAATTAGCTAATCTAAAGTAATTAAAATGTGAAGAGCGAAAAAAAATTTATAATTATAAATAAAAAATAAAAAAAAACAGCGGAAACATGTACTTTATTAAAGTACTTTTACATTCGAAATACTACTAAAAAAATCACACAAGTAGTTCCTTATTCCAACAAACCAAAAACCACGAAAGAAAGCAAAATAACAAAAAGAAAAGAAGAAAACATCCGAGCTTCTTCATTTATTTGTGTACACACTGCTCCAGACTTCACACAAAATACACAACTAGTTCTCCGGTCCATGACCTGCACAAATTTAATTAGGATGAGCTAAAAGCTCAGTAGGGACCTATACCTTCAAAAAAAAAAGGAGTTTAATCAATTATGCAGATACAAAATATAATACAAAACGCATCACTTAATCTCCTAATTTGAATAATTAATCACTTAAATTTTATAGGTCCCATACCGTACTATTACAACAACAACAACAACAAAGCCTTTTCCCACTAAGTGGGGTCGGCTATATGAATCCTAGAACGCCATTGCGCTCGGTTTTGTGTCATGTCCTCCGTTAGATCCAAGTAATCAAGTCTTTTCTTAGGGTCTCTTCCAAAGTTTTCCTAGGTCTTCCTCTACCCCTTCGGCCCTGAACTTCTGTCCCGTAGTCACATTTCGAACCGGAGCGTCAGTAGGCCTTCTTTGCACATGTCCAAACCACCGGAACCGATTTTCTCTCATATTTCCTTCAATTTTGGCTACTCCTACTTTACCTTGGATATCCTCATTCCCAATCTTATCCTTTCTCGTGTGCCCATACATCCCACGAAGCATCCTCATCTCCGCTACACCCATTTTGTGTACGTGTTGATGCTTCACCGCCCAACATTCTGTGCCATACAACATCGTTGGCCTTATTGCCGTCCTATAAAATTTTCCCTTGAGCTTCAGTGGCCTACGACGATCACACAACACGCCGGATACACTCTTACACTTCATCCATCCAACTTGTATTCTATGGTTGAGATCTCCATCTAATTCTCCGTTCTCTTGCAAGATAGATCCTAGGTAGCGAAAACGGTCACTTTTTGTGATCTTCGCTAGATTGCTTCGGTCATTAGTGTGGATAAGTATATAAATGGATAGAGATAGGAAAGCAAAGACAAGATGTACGTGATTCACCCAGATTGGCTACGTCCACGGAATAAAGGAGTTCTCATTAATTGTGAAGGGTTTACACAAGTACATAGGTTCAAGCTCTCCTTTAGGGAGTACAAGTGAATGATTTAGTACAAATGACATTAGGAAATATTGTGGGAGAATGATCTCGTAACCACGAAACTTCTAAGTCCCGGAGTGTGGTATCGGCTTGACTTTCCTTATCTGTCTCATAGGTAGATGTGGAATATTCTCTGGAAGTACTCTTCCTCCATCCAGGGGTGGTATCTGTAACTGGTGGAGATGCACAAGGTAATGTATCAATGTCACTTGAAGCTTACTTGTAGTTTCAGGCTTGGTCAAGCGCGATACAAACCATGTAGTAGGAGTCCCCCAAGTCGCCGAGCTAGGGGATCTGCTGAAAGAGGTAACAGACAAGGTAAGCAATCAGAGCTCCGGCTGATTGTTCACATTCTCCCTATCTTGCAGGCAGCATGAAGGATAAAGAGAAGAAAAATGAGAAGAGATGATATGGAGATACTTTTTGCTTTTGAAGAAGTAACTTTCCACAGGCTTATTCTTGAACTGGGCTGGAGGGTTTTCTGGTTTCCTCCAAAGTATAAGGCCGACTGAAGAATTTGAGGGTCAAAACAAGTCCATCAAATCTAGAGTACGTTCGACCCTGCTGATATGGGATACTTTTGCTTTTGACAGAGTAGTGGATGTATCGGCACGTGTGCTGTTACGCTTGTCTCCACATGCTTCCTTGTATCCTTCTCACTTGCCCTATCTGTTCCTCAGGCAGATGCGGTATCTTCCTTGGAAGCATAAGATGTTGAAGATGAGTACTCGAGAGCAATGCCAGGGTAATCAGGTAAGGGGTTCCAGGCAGTCAGTTCCTGGCTGGAAGCTTGATTCCAAGTGCTGACTGATTGCTCTCTTTCTCCTTGTCTTGCAGGTAAGAACAAGGCCAAAGGAAAAGACAGGGAAAAAGCATGATATGGGATACTCTTGCTTTTAACCCTGATGATATGAGATATTCTTGCTCTAGTATAGCTTGTTTACAGAGGTATTATCGGGGGGAAAGAAAGCTGAATATTTCGAAAGGCTTCGTTGGGAGTGCCCTCTCAGATAAGAGGAAGGGTTGAGCATTTTTGCAGGTCTGCCTGTCCGTTGGGGATGGAGGTTGACATATATAGGAGTCTCCCTAACATCAAGTAATAATGCTATTCCTTTACCCTGCTTGGTCATAGCACGGTAGTGGGAGCTGTCAGCTTCACAAGTTTTAACTCTGTCAGAGCACTTTGAAAAAATGGTATGTGGTATCTGGAAAGCTGATGTTGCGTGTGAAGATTACAGACAAGCTTTATCCAAGGAGATCCGGCTCTTGAAGTTGGGAAAGTGGTGCCTCTTCGGTTTTCGAACAAGCAATCCTGTGGGGGATCTGGCTCTCGAGATTCGGAGAACGATGCCTCTTCGATTTTTGAGAAAGCAATCATGCTGGGGGTCTGGCTCTCGAGATTCGGAGAGCGGTGTCTTCGATTTTTGAGAAAGTAATCATGTTGGGAGTTGGGAGTGTTTTCTCGAATATGAGTAAAGGTTGGGCATGTTTGCTAGTCTACCTTGCCACGAAGCACAGAGGTTGACACACAGGGACTTTCCAATTATCCAGCAGTGGTACTGTTCTTTTACCCTCTCTTCGATTTTTGAGAAAGTAATCATGTTAGGAGTCTGGCTCTCGAGATTCGGAGGGTGGTGCCTCTTCGATTTTGGAGCAAGCAATCTTGTTGGGGGTGTTTTCTCGAATGTGAGTAAAGGTTGGGCATGTTTGCTAGTCTACCTTGCCACGAAGCACAGAGGATGACACACAGGGACTTTCAAATTATCCAGCAGTGGTACTGTTCCTTTACTCTCTCTTCGATTTTTGAGAAAGTAATCATGTTGGGAGTCTGGCTCTCGAGATTCGGAGGGCGATGCCTCTTCGATTTTGGGGCAAGCAATCTTGTTGGGAGTGTTTTTCTCGAATGTGAGTAAAGGTTGGGCATGTTTGCTAGTCTACCTTGCCATGAAGCACAGAGGTTGACACACCGGGACTTTCCAATTATCCAGCAGTGGTACTGTTCCTTTACCCTTGTGGGTAATAATATGGTAGCTAGGCCGTCAAAATTTATGTGTCTAAACTTTGTTAGTGTTGTTTCTTTGCTATTCTTTTACCCTTCTTGGTCAGAGCGATGTAGTGAGAGTTGCAAGCTTCACGTGTCTCGACTTTGTCAGAGAACTTTGGCAAAGTTATATGTGGTACCCATGAGCTACTGTTGCGTGTGGGAAGTGGGTGATTGAACAGTACGATTCATGTGCTTTCTACTTCGACAGAATGCCCATAATTTCCGCAAAGCTGAGTGTGCGTGTGACAGGTGCTGACAAGGCTGGAAAAGTAGTTTCAACTTTGTCAGAGGACTTTGGCAAAGTTATATGTGGTACCCATGAGCTACTGTTGCGTGTGGGAAGTGGGTGATTGAACAGTATGATTCATGTGCTTTCTACTTCGCCAGAAATCTTCGACAGAATGCCCATAATTTCCGCAAAGCTGAGTGCGTGTGACAGGTGCTGACAAGGCTGGAAAAGTAGGTGCCTCTTCGATTTCTGAGATCGACCCTCGTGGTCTCTGAGCAGCCCAGCTTTTGAGAAAGCAAACCTCTTCGATTTCTGAGATCGGCCCTCGTGGTCTCTGAGCAGTCCAGCTTTTGAGAAAGCAAACCTCTTCGATTTCTGAGATCGGCCCTCGTGGTCTCTGAGCAGCCCAGCTTTTGAGAAAGCAAACCTCTTCGATTTCTGAGATCGGCCTTCGTGGTCTTTGAGCAGCCCAGCTTTTGAGAAAGCAAACGCCTCTTCGATTTCTGAGATCGACCCTCGTGGTCTCTGAGCAGCCCAGCTTTTGAGAAAGCAAACGCCTCTTCGATTTCTGAAGCTTCGTCGAGTGCAGATTTTTATAGAGGCTGACATTAAGTTCCAAAGCACACTTGAATATCCACCAGTAGAAGCTCCATTCTTGCACTTCTAAGATCTTGATTTGTCCGACCTCTTCTCTTTTCAACACCTTTGAAAATGTCTGGCCCCTCCGACCGTCGTTTTGACTTGAACCTTGTTGAAGAGGCAGCCCCGCCTTCTCCAGACAACATATGGCGCCCATCCTTCGTCTCCCCTACTGGTCCTCTTACCGTTGGGGATTCCGTGATGAAGAATGATATGACCGCTGCGGTAGTGGCCAGGAACCTTCTCACTCCCAAAGATAACAGACTACTTTCCAAACGGTCTGATGAGTTGGCTGTTAAGGATTCTCTGGCTCTCAGTGTTCAGTGTGCAGGTTCTGTGTCTAATATGGCCCAACGCCTATTTGCTCGAACCCGCCAAGTTGAATCATTGGCGGCTGAAGTGATGAGTCTCAAACAGGAGATTAGAGGGCTCAAGCATGAGAATAAACAGTTGCACCGGCTCGCACATGACTATGCTACAAACATGAAGAGGAAGCTTGACCAGATGAAGGAATCTGATGGTCAGGTTTTACTTGATCATCAGAGATTTGTGGGTTTGTTCCAAAGGCATTTATTGCCTTCGTCTTCTGGGGCTGTACCGCGTAATGAAGCTCCAAATGATCAACCTCTGATGCCTCCTCCTTCTAGGGTTCTGTCCAGTACTGAGGCTCCGAATGATCCCCCTCCGGTGCCTTCTCTTTCTGGGGCTCTACCGACTGCTGAGACTTCTCCTAAGCAACCTTTGTGAAGGCTCCCTCTTGTTTGTTTATTTTGACTCAAGTATATGTACATATTTGTAATTTATCGGGGATATCAATAAATAAGCTTTCCTTCATTTCAACGTATTGTGTTAAATACACCAAAGCCTTCTTCGCTAAGTTCTTTGAATTTTCTTTTGTTGAAGCTTGTATGTTGAAGCTTTGTGAGTGGAGCATGTAGGTTGAGGTAGTGTTCCCTTAATTTCCCGAGTGAGGAAAACTTCTCGGTTGGAGACTTGGAAAATCCAAGTCACTGAGTGGGATCGGCTATATGAATCTTAGAACGCCATTGTGTTCTGTCCTGTGTCATGTCCTCCGTTAGATCCAAGTACTCTAAGTCTTTTCTTAGGGTCTCTCTCAAAGTTTTCCTAGGTCTTCCTCTACCCCTTCGGCCCTGAACCTCTGTCCCATAGTCGCATCTTCTAATCGGAGCGTCAGTAGGCCTTCTTTGCACATGTCCAAACCACCGTAACCGATTTTCTCTCATCTTTCCTTCAATTTCGGCTACTCCTACTTTACCCCGGATATCCTCATTCCTAATCTTATCCTTTCTCGTGTGCCCACACATCCAACGAAGCATCCTCATCTCCGCTACACCCATTTTGTGTACGTGTTGATGCTTCACCGCCCAACATTCTGTGCCATACAGCATCGCCGGCCTTATTGCCGTCCTATAAAATTTTCCCTTGAGCTTCAGTGGCATACGGCGGTCACACAACACGCCGGATGCACTCTTCCACTTCATCCATCCAGCTTGTATTCTATGGTTGAGATCTCCATCTAATTCTCCGTTCTTTTGCAAGATAGATCCTAGGTAACGAAAACGGTCGCTCTTTGGTATTTCTTGATCTCCGATCCTCACCCCTAACTCGTTTTGGCCTCCATTTGCACTGAACTTGCACTCCATATATTCTGTCTTTGATCGGCTTAGGCGAAGACCTTTAGATTCCAACACTTCTCTCCAAAGGTTAAGCTTTGCATTTACCCCTTCCTGAGTTTCATCTATCAACACTATATCGTCTGCGAAAAGCATACACCAAGGAATATCATCTTGAATATGTCCTGTTAACTCATCCATTACCAACGCAAAAAGGTAAGGACTTAAGGATGAGCCTTGATGTAATCCTACAGTTATGGGAAAGCTTTCGGTTTGTCCTTCATGAGTTCTTACGGCAGTCTTTGCTCCTTCATACATATCCTGTATAGCTTGGATATATGCTACTCGTACTCCTTTCTTCTCTAAAATCCTCCAAAGAATGTCTCTTGGGACCCTATCATACGCTTTTTCCAAATCTATAAAGACCATGTGTAAATCCTTTTTCCCATCTCTATATCTTTCCATCAATCTTCGTAAGAGATAGATTGCCTCCATGGTTGAGCGCCCTGGCATGAACCCGAATTGGTTGTCCGAAACCCGTGTCTCTTGCCTCAATCTATGCTCAATGACTCTCTCCCAGAGCTTCATTGTATGACTCATTAGCTTAATACCCCTATAGTTCATGCAATTTTGTACATCGCCCTTATTCTTGTAGATAGGCACCAAAGTGCTCGTTCGCCACTCATTTGGCATCTTCTTCGTTTTCAAAATCCTATTGAAAAGGTCAGTGAGCCATGTTATACCTGTCTCTCCCAAAACTTTCCACACTTCGATTGGTATATCGTCTGGGCCTACTGCTTTTCTATGCTTCATCATCTTCTTCAAAGCTACAACCACTTCTTCCTTCCGGATTCTACGATAAAAAGAGTAGTTTCTACACTCTTCTGAGTTACTCAACTCCCCTAAAGAAGCACTCCTTTCATGTCCTTCATTGAAAAGATTATGAAAATAACCTTTCCATCTGTCTTTAACCGCGTTCTCTGTAGCAAGAACCTTTCCATCCTCATCCTTGATGCACCTCACTTGGTTTAGGTCCCTTGTCTTCTTTTCCCTTGCTCTAGCTAGTTTATAGATATCCAACTCTCCTTCTTTGGTATCTAGTCGTTTATACATATCGTCATAAGCCGCTAACTTAGCTTCTCTCACAGCTTTTCTTCGCCTCTTGCTTCGCTTTTCTATACCTTTCACCATTTTCATCGGTCCTATCCTTGTATAAGGCTTTACAACATTCCTTCTTAGCCTTCACCTTTGTTTGTACCTCCTCATTCCACCACCAAGATTCCTTTTGGTGTGGGGCAAAGCCCTTGGACTCTCCTAATACCTCTTTTGCTACTTTTCGGATACAACTAGCCATGGAATCCCACATTTGGTTAGCTTCCCCCTCTCTATCCCACACACACTGGGTGATTATTTTCTCTTTGAAAATGGCTTGTTTTTCTTCTTTTAGATTCCACCATCTAGTCCTTGGGCACTTCCAAGTCTTGTTCTTTTTTCTCACTCTTTTGATATGTACATCCATCACCAACAAGCGATGTTGATTAGCCACGCTCTCTCCTGGTATAACTTTGCAATCCTTACAAGTTATACGATCCCTTTTCCTCATTAGAAGAAAATCTATTTGTGTTTTTGACGACCCACTCTTGTAGGTGATCACATGTTCTTCTCGCTTCTTAAAGAAGGTGTTGGCTAAGAAGAGATCATATGCCATTGCAAAATCCAAGATAGCTTCCCCATCCTCGTTTCTCTCCCCAAAACCATGGCCACCATGAAAACCTCCATAGTTGCCCGTCTCCCTGCCCACGTCTCCCATACCGTACTATTCCAAGTGAAAAACTATTCCAAATCACTCAAAACCCAAATCATTCCTAATTAATTTTTGCTAGTCGTCTTGCCAATTTCTTTGTCGCCAGTCCCGAATTATCCTAAAAAAACCTTATCCAATTGGGTTGACCTAGGAGTCTGGTACCTATCAAGAATTGGCTCAACTACACAAAAATCCTAACCTCGATCAACTCGAAATACATTTTCTTCGCACTAAAACTATTCAATCTCACAACCTCACAACGTAACAATCATATTTTTATTTCATCTTTTCGTTAGACAACAAAAAACAAAGAAATTTCAATCTGCATTCAAGCAGATGACAAATTAATTTAACAAGCTCAGCGATACTAGCGAAACATTATTCACAATCCGATCGATAGTATATGCATATTTAAGAAACAAGTGAAACAACACCATTATCCAAATCACATTTATAATATATATATATATATATATATATATATATATATATATATATATATATATATATATATCAGAATACAACCACTTTAATCTCTGAAACATTTACATATTCATATACACATATATACAATAGTAGCATATCACATTATATATACATATATCAGAACACAGTCATTTCAACACAAGATGTCATATACATATATATATATATACCAATGCAGAAAATGCGACAGAAGATTTCCCAGAACCCCCTACCTTATTTGCAGAAATTGAGCTTCTCCGTAAGCTCTTCAAACCCTACAACTTCCCGAACACATATATGCATAGAACAAAATTTAAAATCAAAGATTAGAATACAAATTCAACTCTGAAAAATTAAATCAAAAGTTACAGACATTAATAAACTTCTTTAAAAATTTGTAAAACTGGATCAAAATTAAAATACGAATTTGAAGAATAAAAACTAACAAAATGGGAGACTAAAACTTACAGAAACGGACTTGAAATTTCCCCTTTCGTATGCAGATATACAAAATTCTCAAAACACTCAGATTGGGAAAATCAAATTAGGGTTTCCAACGCCCACTATTTATAGGACAAATTCTACTGATTAAGAGCTAGACCTAGATTTCCAACTCCAGCTATTAGGCTAGCCTAGTCAGCCTAATATGTGGATGAATAAGCACCTTAATTCTCTAATATGTTGTCATCTAGCTCCCTAATTCTGCTTCCCTATCTATCTGCCGGTCAAAAAAACCAATCCCAAATAAAAATTGAGTCATCCAGATAAGATAGATGAGTAATAAGAAGAATTGAGGTTATGTTATGGAAGGAAAACTACCTGTTGCTCTTTATCTGAGTTTTAGAGAGAAAGAAGATGAAGATTTGAGAAAGAAAAGGAAAAGTCTGAGAGAATAAAATAAGAAGAAATTAGGTTCACAATTTTTTTTTTTTTTGCTACTTCATTAATTAAAATCTTATTTTTTTTCAATTTTTGATCAAGATCCTTAGGTATTAATAACATCATTAATTATTTCAATAACAAAATATTTTTTACGTTAAAAAAAAATAATAATAATAAAATATTTTTTGTTTCTAAATATATTCATTTAGTGTTAAAAATGTTACAATTAGTATATTTATATTTATGGCTAAATTTTTTATCATATATTTTTATTTTTTAGTTTGTACCCATTTTTAATTTGCAAACATTTTTTAATTTGTACAAATTTTCTTTTCAGTTTTAATTTGTACCCATATATTAATTTCTTTTTGTGCCTATATTTTTTTAAGTTTTATTTGTATTTGTGCCCATATGTTTACCATCATGTGACATTGTATAATTAATTAATGATAGAAAAATTACATATGGTATATTTATGTTTTATGGCTAAACTTTGTATCATATATTTATATTTTTAGTTTGTACCCACTTTTAATTTGCAACCTTTTTTTAAATTTGTAGTATTTTCTTTTTAGTTTTAATTTGTACCCATGTATTAATTTCTTTTTGTGCCTATATTTTAAAAAATTTCATTTGACCTCATAATTTTTTAATCTTTTATCTGTACTCTAATTGATTTATAATGTACTCATTCTTCTTTATTGATGTACCACTTTGTTATATGTGAAATGTACCATTTTTTAACACTATGGATACATTCTTTTGCCATTTATTATTTCTTATTGTTACATAGTTTTTATCCATTTACTCAATCAAAATGTTTTGATTTTTTTTATTGTAGCCGTTTCTAATAGTATTATGATGAGAGATTTTAAATTTATAGGATTATAAATCTCATAAAATATCAAACAATTAATGTCAAAACTATAAAATTATAAATATTAATAGTAATTTAATGAGGTGTACAAAGTTAAGGGACTTTGATCAAACTTTGAATATCATTAAGATTTTAGTCAAAGAGTGTTAGAGATTAGGGACCGCATCCAAAGTATACCATAAAATAAAGTGAAGGAATGAAAATAATAATAATAAAATACTAAAGGAATGGGAAAAGGCGGTAACCCTCAATGCCAAATTAAAGTTTGGTTTTACTAACTAATAATATTAAAATAAGAAAATAACTTCTTTTTTTAAGAATTACAAAAGATAATTAATAAAAACAAATCAAGAGTATTACACGCATAAACAATAGTTACGAAAAATTAATCATACTATTTAACAGTAATTTATATGAGGGTCTTCACATCCTACCCTCCTAAAATAAAAATACGTTACCGGAATCAGAGAAAAGCTCTGGGTATTTCATACGCATCTCAATCTCTAATTCTCATGTTGATTCCTCTATGTCTCTCTATAACAAGAAAACTTCTGCTAATGGATTGTCTTAGAGCATAGCACTTACTCTTTTGTATCTAGTATTTGAATTAGTCGATCCTCAAAGGATAAATTTTAGTTCATACCAATGTTTTAAAAAACTAGCCTCAAGGCCCGCCTAAGGCGCCTTTGAAGCTAGGCAGTAAGGCTAACGTCTCTGTTTTAATGGAGTGGGCGAAAGGCTTCGCCGAAGACATTGAGGTGGCGGAGACGCACCTCAAGGCGTCCAGGTGCCTTGTCTGCCCCTTTTTTAAATAAAAAAACAAAACCACCTAAACCCAAAAGACGCCATTTGGGTAAGGGTTTTTAGTTACAGATTCCACCCCACACCTTCGATCCCTTTACTAAACCCTTTCTTCACCTTCTTCTCCAGCGCACCAGAGGCCCAGAACACACAACCGCTGTCACCCTAGGCGATCGTCCTCTCCCAGTCACCACGCAGTGATCACCTCGCCGCCGTCGCCACAGAGCCGTCAACAAGACCATAAATCCCAAATTTTAAAGGATAGGGTTTTATTGTTTAGGCAGAATCATATAACTTGTAGGGCTGGGTTTTATTGTTTAGGCAGAATCGTGTAACTTGTAGAACTTGTGATTAAGTTTGATGTGATTAATGGTCGGTATCGTGCTAAGAAAAAGTTGTAATAGCATGCAGTTAGGCCCATTAAACTATTACTTTGTTTTTTTCTTTATTTGCAAACCTTTCGTGTGGAATTACTTTGTTTTTTTCTTTAATAGCGTGCAGTTAGGCCCACATAGAATTGCTTTAACTGCAAACTATTTTCTACTAAGATGGAGCCTAATGTGTTGTACTTTGTAAAAGAGTTTGATCGAATGTTTATTGTTTAGGCATTGAAGAATACGGTTTCTTCTAAGAAAGATTTTGCTTGGCAATGGACAAAAGATTTTTATCTTGTCACCAAGCACTTCTATTGTGTTTTTTGTAACCACAAATACACGGGTTCAATTTCTAGATTCAAACATCACTTGAGTGGTGTAAGTTTGGGAGGAATGATAAGTTGTAAAAAAGTCCCACCCAATGTGAATGAAGAATGCTTTGCTAATGTTATGGGAACTAAAGAAAAGAGGAAAGCTAGTAATGAGTTGTGTCTGGTGGTGAAAATGTCGACATGGGCACAACAAGGACACCATATGTAAGTAGTGGGAGTGAGAGTGTGAGTGTTGCACATTCACAACAAATCGGTTCTTTTTTACCACCTAGGTCAAGGGGACCACTTGATAGGTATGTTATATCGGAACCTTGTCAAACCACATTAAATACACCTTTCAAAAAAGAGGAAAAAAGACAAGCATCTCGAGCACTTGCGTGATGGTTCTACATTAGTGCCATAACATTCAATGCGGCAAACGATGAATATTATGTTAATGCAATGAAATTAGTATCCAATTTTGGTCTCGGCTTTGATGCTCCTACAAGCCATGAATATAGAACTTGGATGCTCAAAGAAGAAGTTGAGGATGTACAAAGTATGATGAAAGAACATCAAAAGGCTTGGAAGAGATATGGATGCACTATTATGTCAGATGGATGGTTGGATGGCAAAAGTAGGTGTTTAATCAACTTTCTTGTCAATAGCCCGCTAGGTACTTGGTTCTTGAAATCGGTTGATGCATCGGCCTCTATTAAGAATGGAGATTTGTTGTATGGCTATTTGGATGATGTTATTCAAGAAATTGGGGATGAGAATGTGGTTCAAGTTATATCCGACAATGCTTCGAACTGCAAGAATGTCAGGGCAAAGCTTATGAAGAGGAAATAGAAGGTGTGGTGGACTTCATGTGCGGTTCATTGCATTGATTTGATGCTAGAAGATATTTCTAAGATGACATGGTTTGATGACACACTCAAACGTGCTAGGTGTATTTCAAAGTATCTATATAGGCATCAATGGGTACTAGCTTTGATGAGAACGTACACCAATAATTCGAAAATTCTTCGTCCGGTGATCACTAGGTTTGCCACTTCTTTCCTTACACCACAAAGCTTACAAAAGCAAAAGGAAAATATTGTTGCTTTGTTTACCTCTCAAGAATGGTCGAAAAGTACCTATGCAAATTCTCGTGAAACAAAGTTGGCTAAGCATCATGGATAATGTTGATGCACAAAACCGAAGGTCTTGGAACAACGTAAATCCGACCGTGAATCTACATGAAATGTAAATAACACAAGATGTATCGTGGTTCACCCCAAGGTTTGGGCTACGTCCACACTGATTGTATTTCTCTGAGAGTATTTGTGAAGGAGAGAGAGTGAGAGCTTTGCTCTAGATAGGAGAGACCTTTCGTTTGTGAGGGTGAGGAGGCCCTTTTATAAAATAAGGGCTTCTTCCCTAATGACATATTTGCCCCTTCCTTTATTACATAATTACATTTAAGTCCCCCGAGTATTTATACGAGGTCTAAATACGAGGCCCTAAATATGGTATAAACAGTAGTCCCTCAAGTCTTTAGTCAAGAGAGTATTTTGGCTGGAGACTTGAAATTCAGTCTATGTGTGGGCCGAAGTAACTAGATATTGTCTTGAACTGATGCTCGATATGAGGAAGTGCTCAATCTGAAATGACGCTCAACTAGAAGTAGCACACGCTGTGAGGCTGCTCGGCTCGTGGCTTATGCTGCTTTGATTGGCTCGGCTTGCGGCGTTTGAAGGTGAGGAAGTCCCTTTTATAGAATAAGGGCTCACTTCTCAATACATGAATGATGGGCTAGAGTTGATGCTCTCTAATGATGGTGAGAGAGTCCCTTTTATAGAATAAGGGCTCGTTCCTCAATACATAAATGATGGGCTAGAGTTGATGCTCGCGGTGATGCGGTTGTTCAGTAGGCGGTGATTCTCTCTAATGGTGGTGAGGGAGTCCCTTTTATAGAATAAGGGCTCACTCATCAATACATAAGTGATGGGTTATGAGTGATGATCGCGGCGAGGCAGTTACTCAGCTGGCGGTGTTGCTCTCTAATGAAAGAGAGGGAGTCCCTTTTATAAAATAAGGGTTCCCTCCTTAGTACATGAATAATGGGTGCTCTCTAATGAAAGTGAGAGAGTCCCTTTTATAGAATAAGGGCTCGTTCAGCAATACATAAATGATGGGCCGGAGTCCCCCAAGTATTTTTTATGATGCCCAGTTGAGGCCCAATATATGGTACATAATGTAGTCCCCCAAGTCTTCGATCAATAAAGTATGTTGGCTGGAGACTTCAAATTGAATCTATGTATGGGCCAAAGTGGCGGTTGTTCAGAGGCGGTATTTGTATACCCTGCACTGAAGCTTTGTAGGTGAAGCTTTGCAAGTGAAGCTTTGAAGCTAGAGCTCTGTAGATGAAGCTTTCGAAGCTTGAGCTTTTGTAAATGAAGCTTTTGAAGCTAAAGCTCTGTAAATGAAGCTTTTGAAGCTAGAGCTTTTATAAATGAAGCTTTTGAAGCTAGAGTTCTGTAAATGAAGCTTTCGAAGCTGGAGCTTTTGTAAATGAAGATTTTGAAGCTAGAGCTCTGTAAATGAAGCTTT